CAATATAAAAGAGTAGGCATGAAAATGCTAATAAAAAAGCTGAAGTATATACCTAATATGGGCATGATGATGCATATTATGTTCAATTGAGTCACACAGCTAATGGCTTACTACAAAATGACATATAAAGTGTTGCCGACACAATAGAATGGAAGTATATTCCACTTTCTACAATAAAAAAGAAACAAATGCAATGCAGACAACATTGTTATGTGCGTAGTTCAGACAGCGAATGTTTCACTGAGATGACAAACTATGTTAAAATAAAAATGTTAATTTCACTCACTCCATGCAAGATAGCCTTTAATTTTAACTTATGAGCACAGTCCAAAATGTACAAACGTATAAAAAAGATACGTTAAAAATTGGCGCGTTTTTCACCAAACCAGTGCGCTTACCGCGTTCTCCGAGTTAAACAAAAAAAATGTTGACACTCCAAAATGAATTTTTAGCAACAAGTTTTCTCAGATGAGGTTGTCATTTCCGTCGAGTGAGGTAAATCAAAGGTTAAAGTACGTTTTACGACGGACAGCCAACGGCGCTGCAGCGGCGCGCTAGATAGTTTCGATTTCTTGAAGCAGACCAGTCGCTGACGTCACGAATTGCGATGTACCGTGCTGTGCTACCATGTTAACTGTTCAGCCAATACTGTCACGAGTTTCCTACGTTGATCATTAATCACAGAAACACTTCATGTATAAAACTGGAGAGCACGTCATAGGGGGTTGTTTATTACAAGAAAACATTAAAAAATTACAACACGAACATGTTGTAAACAAGTAAAGTGCTTGTCTCCATTTTTTTTAATCTAATCATCTTCGATATATGTAAATAAAATTGGAGTGTCTGTTTGTAATATTGAAATATCCGCTTTTTACTACACTTATACGGTAAATACAGTAAAATAACATTTATTACAATTTTTGTCTGTCTGTTTGTACCGGCTAATCTCTGATACTTCTGAACCGATTTTAACGGGACTTTTATTGGAAGTTGGTGACTGAAATAAGGAGTCACTTAGACTACTTTTATTTAAGAAAAAAGAAGAAAAAATCTAAAAGTTAACGCGGACGAAGTCGCGGACAGCCGCTATTCGTTTAAAATTATAGCCGCCTGAAACGCTAAGTTGGTTATTATTATTGATGTCTATGTCATATAACAAAGTCGAAATATCTGCATCTGCTAGACATCTCGCATTTTAAACTTTTCGCTTCAGACATTCAAATGTAAATTAGTCTTGTTGGAAACACCAAATTTATTGTATTACGAATATTGCTGCTTACAAATAAAAAAATATAATTAATAACAAAATAATTACATTACAGATAACATTATTCGTATTTATTTTCAGTAGATACTGTTGCATTAAGGTTCTTGTATTAGATACGTACATGTCACTTTGTTAAAGCCATAATTTGCGATAGGCGTTATCGCTGAGGTTAATATTTCATAGTACGCTTTAAACATGACTAGAAAAATAAAATAATGCAACAATTAACATTTTGTTTCATTCAGTCGTAGCTTTATATAGTTCCTATTAGTGTCTATGAGCCAAAGTTTCTTTTCTCAACTTCATACAAAAGTACAATACATACATTATACAAAACTCTACATAAACTTATCCAAGTAGGCAGTCATATTTAATATTCAATCATACTTATAGTAAAATACCCATTTGTAACTACTCGGTTGAATAAAAGAAAGTGTCCTGACTTTGCTTGACATTTGCAGTCCAAAGTGGGAAGTAATCCACCGGAGGCAGTGCCTTAACGTCCATTCTCTGTGCGCTTGAAGATGTTAGCTTTCATTCTTTCAAAAGTCCTGAAAGTATTAAGTACTCAAGTATTTCAATGAAATGAATCTGGTACTTGATTGCATTAACGAACTCTTTCATAATACTATTGAAAATTCTGCTTCAACAAATAGGTAAGTATGCTTTACATTTCTATGAACAATATGCCTTCGCTAATCTTCATAAAAATCTTAACGAAAATTAACAATGTTTCTGACTTTGCCGCTGCCTGCTTGAATATCCATGACTTTAAAAAAGCGAAAAGACACTGAGTAATCATTGATCATTCATTTTAATTTAGACTTCCTTATAGTAGGTGGGTAATAAATAATTAAGAATGACGGTGCTGTGTATACGACGCGAATGATATATTATGTACAATGATTTAATGTTACTTAACTACGCGAAATTTCACTTTAGCAGAAACACAAAAGGATTACGCATAATATTATTCATAACTACTTTACTATTTAAATTTATGTAGGTAATCGATTTATGCATGAAAATATCGCGAAATACTTACCCTTATGTATTTAAGTATATCTTGTTGAAATGTTATTAGCATTCTAGACCCTTGTTGACATGCTATGTCTTAAAAAAACTCATTACATATTGCTTACTGTTTAAAATATATTTTGCTTATTTGAAAAAGATTCTCTTTAGCTACTGCTTGTATACGTTGGAAGCAGAATTGGTATGGAAGTCACTTTGGGGTAAATCCAATTTTTGCCGAAGTACAATCTACTTTATGAATACTTTGTGTGAGTGTTCCACTGACCGACTTCCTACGCGCCACATAGGTAAATCATCGTAAAAGACCTTCCTAAAGGCGGCATTAAACTAATTGCGGCGACGCGATGAGAGCTTGTAATGGATGGACCCCGAGATGTCCGTATTTATACGGATACGCGTCTACGTTGCGTTGGTTGCTACTTTACAATGTACACGGTGTTACATTTTGACAGCCCAGTGTCTAATCGTTCACGCCTCAGATTACGAAGCGATTGTTGGTTAGTATTCCTCGAGTATTTAAACCTCGGATTGAATTAAATCTGGTAATATGTGAGGAATAAACGAGTGAATAAGCTATAAAGAAGAATATTTTATTTCCAGCCCCGGCTTATCATGTATTCGTTTTTAATAATGCCTAATACAATACAAAGATTATTGTTTAAAAGTGGATTATTTGTCTTAGTGAGTGTCATTCATGTTCTAAGCAAGTTAAAAGCCTACCTTGATACGCTAGCTAAATTACTTACTTTACCAGTAAAAAGTTATAAATAAAGGTATTTAATAATATTGTTTTCGAAAGGTTTTTGTTAAATATAAGTAGATAGAGATAAATATAATAGAGTAAAGAGGTAATCATATTATTTTTTAACCTAAATTCTTAATTTCGCATAAGCACATTTTGACATTGTTTTTGTAGCTATTTCCCCAATAAATATTTAGCATATTCCACTTATTATGAAATTTTATTTTAAATCGCTATGGAAATATTAACTTGGTGGAAGTTCAAAGACATTAAACTACTTCTACTTTCATCACCATGACTTGATTAATGATCGAACAGCTGCCGGGTTCTGGGACAGATTAAAACTAAAACGGTTTAAACCAAGAGTTTATTTTCCTCCAAAAAAGAATTACCAGGTGTAATTAAAATTCTTAGGTTTCCCAAATTTATTTTCAAGAAAACTTCAAAGTTTCGCATCGTAACAAAAAGTAACAAAACTTCAAATGGACATAAATAGGTCATAAGACAACAGGTACCTAGTTCATTAGTAAAAAGCAAAATAAAATCGTGTATCATAATACACGATGATTTTCAAATGTTATTATTCGACAATGTTTTTGTTCATCAGCTCTAAATTGATGCCTTAAAACCAGAGATACCTAAATCTATTTTATTTTTATGCGTTCATAGCCATTTCGCATTTTCTAGCGCTTTGTAGAGAAAAATTAATAATGATAAAATAAGTTAATGTCCGTTTTAGGAACTTAAACTCACACCACAAATAGACGTGTTGCATTATTGAATAGAATTCTTATATGTAAAAAATCGTAATGAACGTAAAGTTGTTAACAGATTGGAACTATTAAATAATAAACCGTCATTTACAGAGCAATTTGAAACAGCCACCAAGTTCTGCGTCACCGATGCGATGGTCATCAGTCTGCTGTCTCTATTCATGCACCTGTCGGGTGGCCATTCTCGTTTTAATCGACCAATGTAGTTTTTGTTGTTCTGCTCATTTATAACTTCCAATCGCTCACACACAGTGCGAAACGCTTGTGAAGTTTTACTTTGTAAGTAAAAATTAATTAAAAATATACTTGCAACCAACCAACAAACAATGTTTTTATTAGTAGTGGATATAAGATTTTGTTTGATGTATACGTATGTAGTTACCTATTCTACTTACTATTGTCTTCTATCTTACATAACTCTATCATCTAAGCATAGCAGGTTTTCAATTATCATTATGGTTAAAATGTCAACAAACAAACGGACATGTTAAAAAATATATTTATCGTAAACTTACCAAAATTCCACAAAGACACCGTACGGGCACTAGCGAAATATCCCACTTATGAACTAGTCCACTTTGAATTTTTATTTCACTTGGTTTTCTCTACGGGAAAACTAATGAATTGTTATGTACGTGAAGAAACTTGACACAGTATATGCGTGCGTTGGAGCGCGGGGCCGGCGCGCGACTGCGGCGGCCCGATTCAGTGCATTGCATGCGCGCGCGCAGACGCAGGGAGAGCCCTGGCGCGCGCTCCGTTGGTCCCAAAGAGGATATTTGGTCCCTAAAGTCGGATAAATCCGGCGACACGGTTGCGCCTGGCCGCCACAGGCACAGGAGACCGATTCGCTTCACTTAACGCGAGGACATGTCACAGATGTTTTGTAACACTTAACATAATAGCTGTATTTCCAACTGCTAAAGTATATTGTTTCGAGTAAATCTTTACAAAACACACAAATATTTTACGTAACCATTGTTTTCTGCATGTTAGCATATCGAACTGTCAGTTTGATATGATATAGGTATATTATAACTTCCTTGGAGATAATAAAAAAATAGTGACACATGTCATCAGCGTATGGCAAAAGTCATTTAATCGTCCAATGGTGGTCCAATGTTATGACCATGCAAGGTCTTGCGCTGTATTTTAAGTAAATAATTACAGAAACAGCATTATGGAGAGGAAGCATACACCTTTTACTACAGTGACACCTCAACAGAGCAGTAGTATCTCTGTGGGCAAAGATTCTGGGAGAACTCCAAACAATTCCAGTGTACAGTTCCCTGCAAACCTTCCTGGACATCCACCTGGAAAACCTTCACGGTTAAAAACAGCAAAGGACACCAGAAAAGCTAAAGGTGACTGTTTATCATCATCGAGCTCTGGCACTCAGTACTACAAGAAAGAAAGACATAAAGACACGTATGTGAGGATCACTAAGGATGAATACTTTGGAAAGTCGGAGTCCATATCGGGATCGTCTTCAACTTTACACTGTGTCCACGGACCTGAAGGAAAACTGTATTCGGAGAAAGGACTCTTAAAGAGAAACCTTACTAAGGTGTTGGACCCGATACCATTAGGTAAGCCAGTATTGTGTGTATACTATTGTTTTTAGCTAGGCACATAACTTGAACAAATATTACTATGTGTATGGAAATCCGATTTGGCTGATTGTTTTAAGTTACGTTAGTTATTAATATAGGAAGAAATCAGCGGAAAAATCGGTAATCAGAATGGTGTTTAGCTATGTGGTAACATGCATACTCGTATATCTCAGCAGCTAGAACATATTATTTTTTCATAAGGAAATAGAATGGGTATATGAAATAAGCAGCAAAGAGAAATCATAAGGAAAATACGATATCGAAATTTACAATTTTATACATTATATTTTTCCTACATTGATAACAACTATAAATTAAATTTTCATACAAATAGGTATCTAAAATGTTATTCGTGACGTTTTAGAAAGAATTTTATATACCATCTCAACCCATAATACTGTAAGATTTTTCTTCTCAATTTTTTTAATGGTAAATGGTAAGAATTTTAGTTACCTTTTAAAAATACTAGTGGATTCAGGCATACATTTACATTATATTTCCGTAAAAAAATGTTTTTTTTTTCGAAATGTGGCTCCACGTCAACTCAATAATTGTTCAATTATAAAACTAACAGTTTAAGTTGTCATAAATTCACTTAATAAACTGCTTTTAAGATCTACGTAATTTAAACGGATATTAATTCCATATACGAGGGATGGTCAAAGAGTTCGCGGAATGGAGGGGGTCGAGAGAGTATCAACTCAATGGAAAAAAAAATCGGTATTCATGCTGTGATTTTAAGTTCCTCACCAAGCAAGGAAAAAACCGCAGATCATTTTGGAAGAGTTGTCGTCTGTTTACTGGGACTCTTGCCCTGGTAATACGATGATTTATAAGTGGCATAGCTTATTTAAAGTAGGGCAGAGAATCGATTAAGGATGAGCAGCACTTAGAACGGTCCATGGAAGCGACATCCTCAGAAAATGACAAAAAGTTGAAAAACTTTCTGGACTCTTGACGTATGAAAAAGATTGCAATCGTAGAAATGATTTGGGTATCATCTACAATGGTTTTCTAATTCTAGGCAACCATCCTAGCACGTTTAAGGTCGATGCAAGGTAAAGAACGCTTGTGTAAGAAATGTATGATTACCGCATCAGTTTTCTTCGCAACTGGATTATCTGATTACAACTTGAAGTGTGGAACTATATATGTGGATACTGGGCCTGAAAAAAAAGCAAAGAAGATCCGCCAAATCTCATACAAAATTGCCCCCATCTCCGGCGCCAAAGAAATGTAACTTAGGTTTTTGTGTAAACATAATAAAAACCTCTTGAATAATCGCTATTGCTAAGTACGAATGTTAATATAGCTTGTTTGGCATGTTGAAGTTTTATATGTTTTAATAGTCACTGAAAAAAAAACTTCGGTCCTTCTATAATTATATGCTATTAAACAACCAATGACCAGTCATCAACCAACCAACATCAGTTAAAATGTTGTATATTGTACATATTTAAATCTAGCGCCTATAAAAATTATAATGTAGTAAAAGTGAAACTTATGGACATTTTAAATTTACTCTCAAATCTGAGTTACATTTCATTGACCCCGGCGGTGGGGCCATTTTGGTGGATCTTCTTGGATCTCCTGTGCAACTCGCCATCCATTTTGTTTAAAGTAATAAACAAAGGAATCTACAAAATTTAATATTACCTATATACTACTGGAATATAAACATTGCATGATTACAATGGAGAGTAGATTAGGTATTGAGTCTACATATATATCGAAATGCCATAAAATCAAAAACGCAATCACGACAGACGTTATCAAACTGTTGCCACAGAATCTGTGTCAATCGAAATTTGCTGACAGTCCCAGATTTTGTGAAAGTGCAATATCATTAATAAAATGGGACGTTCCCTTAATTGAAGTAATGCGCTTTCCCTCACCCACTTATCCTTTTTAAACGAGAATCATATACATATTATTTCATATTCAAAGACATTGCCCTTTGTGTATTTTAGGTAGTGGAAAGTATTTCATACTAGACTGACAGTTGATAGCGAACGAAATGCGCCTTTGCTGGCAATAAAAATCATCACACTTTTAATGTTCCCACTGAAAGAGCACAAGCTTTAGGCATTTTGCAAACACCTCCGTTTTATCTCGGGTGTTTCACTAAATATCGTGAACGTTGTACCTACGTACTCGTATGTCAGATCTTTTAACGGGTTTAAAGGGCGATAATATGGATAATGACGAGGTAAAGTAAACAAAACTCTATTTAACTGGGTTATCAAAAATAATGCTAAGTTATTTTTACTTTTGTCAATCAACCAAAAAATGGCAAGGATAAAGCTCGTCGAAGTGGAAGTAGGCGCTCGGGATGACAATTCTAAGTAAAAATTATACAAAAAAGTGACTGACGCCATGCGAACTTTTAAATCAATATATCTCTGTAATTTTTTTATTGTGCCCATAAAATATATATGTCCTATTAGCTGACCTAGCGATCTTCGTACCGCCATAAAAAAGTGGCTGGTAGTAGAAGGGTGAAAAAAATAAAAATATATTTTTTTTTAAAAAATGTTAGGGGGGGACAACCTCTATCACTTAGACCCCTAAGTGATAGAGGTTAGATGAAAAATAGATAGTAGCCGATTCTCAAACCTACTGAATATGCATATAAAATATCATAATACTCAGTCAAGGCGTTTGACGTTTGGCGTTTGTCACAAGACATTGTGACACGAGAATTTTATATATAAGATACTATACCTGATAGACAAAGAAAAAAAAGTTGGTCATCATCCCCATTTTTCCTTACATTTCGGATTCTTTACAGGTTCCTCGGTGGTTATAAGGCTAACCTCTCTGCGGTTGAGAGCCATGTTAAAAAAGTATTTTTATTATATGATTGGTATGCTTAAAAATATAAGAAATAAATATTTTGTAGATCCAGCCTGGAATGATAAGTGTCCCCCAGCCTATGGATGGGATATTGCTCAGAAATTGGAGTTTTTGGTCACAGACATCATCGGAATGAGCCAGCATGATCGGATCGAGGGACTCCTCAGAGATTTTGCGATAATGTCAAGGAATGGATATGTATGCTGTTCCTACTTTTATATTTTCTAATAATAATATTAGAAAGTTATTTTGGCTGCCTGTCCCTCTGTATGTCGGTTACGCTTAGAGATTATAGCTGTATCGATTTTGGTGAAGTTTAGTATGGAAATAAAGAGAACAATGGGGAAGAACATACTAACATTACTATTGCTGTGATAATATACTTAAGTGTTGAAGTAGGAGATGAAAGTTTTTATAACAAACTAATTTCTTCACACAGATAAAGTCAAGGGCACCAGTTTGTGGTATATTTCAGTGCTATAATATAGGCTTATCTTATAAGATATTTTTACTGCAACCTACAAGCTTTTTTTAACCAGCATTAGTTAAATATTACTTCCAAAGTTGTACCTGAATGATGTCTTATTAATATTTGTCATCGATTGGCCAACCGTTTGCGTATTTAATCCAAATACTGTAATTTAATAGCTTTATTAAAAAAAAACGGTTTTCGGTATTAGATGTCTTATTATATAAAATTTGATTATCTACTATATAAAAATAAGTCGGGTTTTCCTTCCTGACGCTATAACTCCAGAACGCACGAACCGATTTCCACGGTTTTGCATTCGTTGGAAAGGTCTCGGGCTCCGTGAGGTTTATAGCAAAGAAAATTCAGGAAAAATTAAAAAAAAAATCTTTTTTAATCACCAAACGAAATGTTACATAAAACGAAGCCATCTGGTGGCGAAACGGAGTTCGCGGGGTTTGCTAGTGAGGTATAAATCTATTAATCTCTTGTTTCATTAATACTGTGTGTGTTTGGGATATACTTCAGATATTCGTTAATATTAATTCCACTACATTAAGGTTCTTTACTAAATTCGTATTTTATGTCTAATAAAACAGAAAATTCACGTTTTGGATAGCGTCTGCGTGATATTAAATTATTTGGTGGAGAATTTAAACAAGAAACCAAAATGGAAAGAATACCTTTCTACACTATTGTTGAACATGGAAAAGCCTATATTGCTGAACGCTTCATCAGATGTCGTGACACACTTCAGAAAAATCAGCTCGTACATCGGTTTTATGGGTAAATAGCTCCTTTATATAATTTTATTTAAGCCACTTTTAGGATGGGCGCATATGTATATAATTCCGAGAGCCTAGTGCAGCTATTTAGGTCTCCGAGTCGGAATTTTTGATCAGGAAACCGAATCTCGAAACTATACCTACATATGCGCCCAGCCTTATGACTCATCTACTATTTGCCCCACTGCTAGGGCACAAGCCTTGCCTATGGACGCCATAGGAAGATTGGAATATGATATCACACTACAAACGGACCCAGTGCTGATAGTTGAGTGTTAGCGACTACAGATGCAGCCCAGGGCCAACTACCGGAAGTGCCTTCAGAAGAACTCTCCTTCACTCCTCCTTGCTTTTGAAGGCACTGCCGGCCATAGGATGCATGACTATTTATCCTTTAACCGACCACGGCAAAATTTGCTTAACCTTCACGATCGTAGACTGAAAAAGATTACCTATGAACACGCTTAATTTAGTTTAATATCAAGCCATTAAAATAAAATGTAATTACTAGAAAACATTATTTTTAGATGAAAGGGTTTAAGTAGCGAAAGCATAGCGGTCAGTGCTTCCGTTCGGAAAGCAATGGACGCTGGTTCGTAACCAGCCATTTTCTTTACATGTAAAAATCCCCGTTGTACCGAATGCACCAATGACTTGCACCATTTATGGTGCAGATGAAACTGATTAGTTTCGTTTGCACCATTAAAGGGGCAAACGAACCATAGTACCTATGTATAGAGTGTCATCTGCACCATTGTGCAGATGCCACTCTTATATCATGATATTTATATTATAAATGCGGTTATATAATTTGGTACCTATTTTTCTTTAGGAGAAATAATAGTATTCTTTTACTATAACCGATAGTGGTGGTCAAAACAATGACATTTATACTTTCTTCTCTAGTACCAATATGTCAGCTAACCATTGTACGTGATCTGATGCATGACCCACAGGCGCTCGACAATGGGGACAATGCCATCGCTGCTCGGGGGATTTCATTCATACATGGGGTCGCTGCGATTTGTGGAGCAACGCGTGCTTGCCCGAGGGCAATGTATCACTTTGATGGACATAATCACTTACTAATACGCATTCGGGCCGCGCAGTGATGGTGCAGTACCAAAAGCGTCTAGGTATCAGTGTTGCCATCAAGTTTGAAAGAGTTGCCGTATTCGATACATTAGATTGCCGTATATTTAAATAAAAATCATGATTTTGTTGTATTACCTAACTTTATTTATTAAAATTTATAGGTAGTTAGTATTATTATACGGCAATGACAAACCTTCCGTATGCCGTATAATCTGAAATTATGAGCTCAAATTGCCGTATATTACGGTAATTGCCGTATCAATGGCAACGCTGCTAGGTATAGGCTATAAATAACGTGGAGAGTCACCAGGATCCCACGAAACCCGTTCCGGCAGGCCAGGAAGCACTATTGGGTTTTAGTGAGAAGGGCCCTCCTCTTCATCCTGAGCAGCCGCTGAGCCAGTTTGGCTGAGTGGGTGGGCAGAATTTGGGGGGAGGAGGAGTTCCACATAATCCCGTCTCTCACCAAGGTGCGGGGTATGTGCGTCACGCATTTTCATAACAATAAAAAAAGGTATAGGCTATAAATAAATAGGTAAAAATAATTTAACATTCACACCAACTAGCCTAGTACCAAAGTAAGGAACGGCACGGTTGTTTTCCACCCGTTTTATAACAGAGTACAATAATGTACGAACATTTTAAGACTATATTTCAGTCAACATTTCTAAGAAAATTATGGTGTACCGATTAATTATTAAGCTTATTCATCGGTCAGTCAATTTAAAATTATCATAGGTATATAACGATTTATATATATATAAATATCATTAAGTCTTATTGATTTATAATTCCCACGTCCAGAAAAAGTTCGCGGTATGTTCACCGATGGCCGAGCTTGCGTTTTTACCTCCGCTTACACTGCATTCTGATGCACACTGTTTTGTGCGTCTGTCTAACGGAACTTAATACGAAAAAACCGGAAAAATGCGAGTCGGACTCGCCCAACGTGGGTTCCGTACAAATTTGTAGGTACGCAACATAAACGGTCGTATCTTTTTAACGTTAACTTAGAAATATAACTCTTCACATCTTCATCATAATAATAATAATTAATCTGATACTTGGCACAGCCCGTACAGATTGTTAAAACCAGCCTCAAGCTGAGAAAAAAAGAAACCAAAATAATAATAATAAATCTTTATTGTGTATGGAACAAGGTAACATGAAAATACAGGAGCTCTACTTTCTTTCTCCGAAACCAAATTTCGGTAACGAACGAATTTTAAACGAAATTTTAAAGTTGTTAATTTTAATTTTAAAGTTGAAATAGAGTAGGCCTCCTGGTCTTAATGCTAATGTACAGTGCCATTTGATCCTACCTTTTCATAGGAACAACAATAGGAACCATTTGAATATTCCTATTTATATTCTAAAAACTCTTGGATACTATAAAAACATTTTTGGCTAAGCCAATCCTTAAGTATTTTTTTTAATGTAAAAAGATTTAGTTCTTTGAATTTTGTCTGGTAATTTATAGTAAATTTTAATGCACAAAATAAAAGTGTTTTTAACTGCTAAAGACAATTTTGTGGCAGGCCTATGGAGCTTTTTTTTATAAAATGAGCGTAAATTTCGATTGGTTATTTGATGATTCTCTCTAAATAGTATACTAAAATAGTAATATGTTGGTGTACAAATGTATCAACATATATCAAGAATCAAGGAACCGTAGATTAGAGTGTATGCTTTTTCAACTCGATACCTCCACGCATTCCCGAGATCGTGATAGACAGACGGATAACAAAGTGATCTTATGTAAGGGTTCCTTCCTTTTGAGGTACGGAACCCTAAAATATTACAACTGTAACGAAATGACTCGAGTACTTACGTTTTCTTCATAGGAAGTAGAATTATAGCTATTAACGGGATTGTTACCATGTACCTTGTTTTCTATGAGTCTCCGATATTTCGGCACTGTTGCAAGCGCCATGATCACGGAGTAACTGGAGTAATTGTGGGTAGATGTTATTGGCAGACATATCGGTCTACCCTCTGACGTCGTCTTTTACTGCGCTCGATACTCCTACCATTGGTCACATTCTCACTATTCACTCGCACCTGTTCCCGACACACAATACTCACAGTATCAGATCGCGGAACGACACTTTTTTGATTTTTACGGTTTTTGCACATACGAACCACTGGATTCCAGACACTTGACAATTTAAACCCATCCTCACGATTGAAATTTTTGTGTTTGGTTATTTCAATCGCTTCCCTGACCAATCTTGGTATGTAGTGGCGTTACGGTTGGCAGATTGGCTGGACTTGGCTGGATTGTCCAGCTATTTTACACGTTGTCCAGTGTCCCGGTTTTAGGCAAAATGCCCAGCTAAAATGAAGCTGAAAATTAAAAACCACTAGTATTAGTGGTTTTTCCACCGAGTTGGCAACACTGGCTCCGCTGCGGCCTATTGCTATCTATGCCCGGGATTGAATTCAATAATTCGATTGAACTTTGACGAAAATTGTACTAAATTTAAATCTTTTCTAAGTACAGATAAAGGTTCTAAAATGATAAATGCGGCTAAAGGAAATGCTAAATATATGTGGCAGAAAAAGTTATTTCATATTAATTTTGTTTAATTAAGGTTCCTCTGTTTTGTAATAATAAGAAATTTTTATAATCATGTTGATTATTTTTGTCCAGCCAAAAATCCTAATGTCCAGATATTTTATAATGTTGTCCAGAAATTTTGATTTCTCAATCTGATAACCCTAAGTGGCGTTCTGTCGAGATGATTTGTGGATTATGGAGCTCAATCCAGTGATTAGGACCCGAATCACAAAGTAATAATTTTATAGAGCAAATCACAAAGTAATAATTTTATAGACTCAATTGAATATCGGAATAATATTATCAATAGCCCTGACAAAATTGCGACCATTTTTAATGATTATTTTATTGAATTGACTAATAAATCTAATAATATTAATAATAATGAATCCTGGAATGACACTTTAAACAATTCTATATATCTTACCGCAATTGACGTACATGACGTAAAACAAATTATTACATCTTTAAACAATACAAATTCAGTAGGTTATGACGACATTTGCACGAAAGTTATAAAGGCATGTAAAGAGGAAATCAGCCATGTTTTAGCTTTCTTAATAAACATGTCATTAACATCTGGTATATTTCCAGATAAGCTCAAATTGTCAATAGTGAAACCATTGTTCAAAAAGGATAATAAGGCTAAAATAGACAATTATCGACCTATTACGCTGATACCTATCTTATCTAAGATCTACGAAAACGTCATGCACGCCAAACTTACTTCATTTTTTGATAAATATCAGGTATTAAAGCAAAATCAGTATGGATTTCAAAAAAATAAATCTGTAGTAGATTTATAAATGCATTTCACATATGAGATGGAAGAAGACCGAAGTCTGGCATTTCTTGACGTAAAGATTCGGGTGTGGAATGATGGTTCGCTGAGTCATTCCATTCACCGCAAACTCACACACACAGACCGTTATCTCAACGCCTCCTCGCATCACCACCCTAGACATCTAAACTCTGTAGTGACTTCCCTGACGAACCGTGCATATGACTTGTGTGACAAGGAACACCTGCACGAAGAGTTGGAGTATGTACGGCGGGTCCTACAGAATAATGGATACAAGGGACAGTTTCCACCCAAACACAAATTAAGGCACCAGACACACATAGTAAGCAGGCAACCAGTATTTTTGCCATATATCAAAGGAGTGACAGACAAGATCTCGAACATACTTAATAAGTACTCACTGAATACTGTCTTCACTCCTTTACAAAAAGTGTCACAGTTTCTACGATCTCCCAAAGACAACTTCCCTTTGGAGAAACCTGGTGTATATAAGATCGACTGCAGCTGTGGTAGTTCATATATTGGCCAAACGAAGCGGACAATAGCGTGCCGAATGAAAGAACACATAAAAGCTGTCAGAAACAATGATACGCAGAAATCAGCTATCGCGGAACATTTAATCGATTCGGGTCCTAATCACTGGATTGAGCTCCATAATCCACAAATCATTTCGACAGAACGCCACTACATACCAAGATTGGTCAGGGAAGCGATTGAAATAACCAAACACAAAAATTTCAATCGTGAGGATGGGTTTAAATTGTCAAGTGTCTGGAATCCAGTGGTTCGTATGTGCAAAAACCGTAAAAATCAAAAAAGTGTCGTTCCGCGATCTGATACTGTGAGTATTGTGTGTCGGGAACAGGTGCGAGTGAATAGTGAGAATGTGACCAATGGTAGGAGTATCGAGCGCAGTAAAAGACGACGTCAGAGGGTAGACCGATATGTCTGCCAATAACTTCTACCCACAAATACTCCAGTTACACCGTGATCATGGCGCTTGCAACAGTGCCGAAATATCGGAGACTCATAAAAAACAAGGTACATGGTAACAATCCCGTTAATAGCTATAATGTTAGTGACCATGAAAGTTTAAAACAATGGAAGTAGAATTGTTGCGGAATAAAGAGTTCTCTGTGTGCATCGAATTATCTAATACTAGTAATCGCTTATTGCCTTTTTTATGGCGCGATTAAACTTGGTCTTTAGCCCGAATACATATGCCAATGGAAATCGGGTAAACTACTAAGTGTGACGGTGTCGACTACACCCATATTCGGATAGATTTCCTTTTGTTTACCCGACACCGTCTTCCATTGTAATTCCAGTGTAAATATTGCTTCGGGTGCCCGAATTCGAGTAATGTCTTTCGTGCACCCCAATACGGGCTAACGACCAAATGCAATTGCGGCATCAGCAGTGCTAATTTCTCTCGAATTTTACAGAATAGCACTGCAGATTATATTTCGTACTTTGTGTAATTGTTCTAAAACTATTATAATTATTGTCATACGAAACCGAATGGTGAAAATCTCAGAATATTAAATACAGAAATCTATGTGGTTTTTGTAACTGCCGATAGAAAAATATTTCATAAAAAAGTAAAAAATGTCTAAAAAGTTACCTTTACAATTCTTTTTTTATTTGCTGAAAGTAGAATCGTAACCAATCTTTCAGAAACATACTTACACAAAAAAACGATGTTCGCCAGTTTAGCTTAGTTTAAATATTATTATGTATTTAGTAGATAAGAATAAAAGCAACACATTCTGTTGATTTTTTTGTTTTCGATAATCAATTTGAAGAGGTAGGGTATAAAGGATTTTCCGGAGAAGTAACCTCCACCTCAACAATTCTATAGATAACGGGTTGCATACAAAATCAAAATTAAAACTGTCCGCGGGTGTAACTTATGCAACTGCATTGGATTAGCAATGAATAAAGACAAATGTTTTAAAACAGTTTAAGTTAAACCTAATAACAACATGCCAGAAAGGAATAAAGTTACAAATAACAAAATGTTATTTCGTACATACGACCTTTTATCTTATAAAACGAACAAAGCAATAAATTATATCTACTTGGAAAAAAGCAATATAGGTGAAAAAAGGAGAATGTGAAATCAACCATATGACCCAAAAATAAAGTATTTTTACCAATCATTGATTCTTTTAGTCACTGCGAAATGGTTGTTGGAAAAAAATTGGATAAAATATTAGACTAATGTTGTCAAATATTCTTAGCGGAGGTTTGAATTAAATAACATTGGCCGAGCTCATGATCGAATCACCGATCTTTTGGTATCGATCCCAAGGTCGATTTCGTACTGCTATCCGTCTCTTGCAGCGTGTTACAAAATTGCGGATACCACCTAATGTCAAAAACTTGCGTTTCATCGAATCTCAAGTCACAACGACATTAAAGAAGTTTTCACTTCAAAAAACCCCATAAAGGATACGCACTGCGCTATTTATGGGAGCGTGCGGTACATCGTATGGCTCCTAATTTTGAACAATGATACAACCTCCGTAAATGAAAATGTAGAAAGAAATGTAGAACTTAGGTACTTTTTAGGATATCTGTTGATGAGGATGGAAGACGATGATCTGTTTACCCTGGTTAGTAAGGCTATGATGTTGCATAGATCTTCACACTGTCGAGAGCATGGCGTGGCCCGCCTGCGAGTAGTGCTGGCGGTTGCAGCACCAGAGCTCATACACACGGCTGTCAGAATTCTGGCAAGATATAGGCTGTGAATGCTAGTCACTTGGCAAAATTTGAGATCTTCTAGTAGTCTTCTTCTAGTCTTTTTGAGATCGGGGAAGTGTTTTCTCAACCTACATAAACGTTCATTCCAATTTTATTCGAAAAAGTACACTAACTTTCTAGGATATCTATTGATGAGGATGGAAGACGGTGATCTGTTTATCCTGGTCAGTAAGGCTATGATGTGGCAACTATCGGCACCTGACCAATGTCGAGGACCTGGCGTGGCCCGCCTTCGAGTTGTGCTGGCGGCTGCAGGACCTGTGCTCATTCACACCGCTGTCAGAATGTTGGCAGTCACTGATGCTCACAGGTTCCCTACTTTCTTGGAGATAGCTCTGCTGTTAGCCAGTGACAGTGCTGATAATTGTAAGTGAAATTCTAACTGGAAAATGCATAAATTATAAGTTGTTGTTATTTTTTCTATTTGTAATGTAAAAGTGTTGCATGTTACGAATGTACGATAAGTTCACTTAAATTTAAAGTAGTAGTTTAACACAAGATGAAATATAAAATGATATAATAATAATAAAACTATGATATTTTGGACTTTCCTACCCGTAAGACCTTCTTTTTAGAACCAAGCTTGCACCCATTGGTCCTTTAAAATATTTGATTAATTATCTACTATGCCTACATGTTATCGTGACACATGTACAAGCCTTAATTTTTGCATGGTTTACTAAACCTAAAATGTCTTTCCTGTATGGACAGGAAAGATAAGGTATCTACGGAGCATGATAAAAATATAGACTGTCTAATTTGTTTTAAGTTTTGAGGAGTATACGAAAATTATGCCCATTTTAAAATAAAAAAGCTGAACAAATCTTAACAGGAAATTGTTAATAAATCTCTTTCAGGTATAAAAATGATGAAAGAAAATATAATAGAGCATGTATTTTACCGTTTCAATCCATACTTTCCTGAAGGGAAATTGCCGCCATTCGATGAAAACCCTGCCAACCTTCAAGATTGGAATGTTAAATTAGGTTATCGAAGTTTCTAATTAATTTTTATAGTTAGATTGTCTTCTAATTCTGGAGTTAAAGTAGTTAAAAGTATTAAATTCATACGAGTAATTTGCTTTACAAATGTGGAAAGTGCCAACTGTACTTAATACAATATTTATTGAAGTAACCTAGAATACGAGTATACTCTGATAATGTTTATTATTGCAGGCGAAAGTAGTCTTCACATGACAACAACTCTTTCTCTACTCCTTGTCCTTCTAAAAACTACGAAAGACAACTTAGAACTTAATCCCACACTTCGGACGGTTTTGCCATGTCCTGATGCTTATAGCCAGAGGTGATTTAGTACCTAAATAAATTGCTTACAACTATTGCCAAGTGCAAACACGTCACTACAGTATTTAGTTTCCAAAAGATATAATAATACCTGATTCAGTGCTAGTCCAAAATGTATTTCGCGTTGTTCTAGCACATTAAACATATTTGGCCCACTGCTCTTTCATTGTTTTTCTTTTATATTCATTATTGACCATCTGTGATCTTCTTCTACTTTACTACTTAAGGATGTTTTTTTAATGACAGATTAATGAGCACCTCAATTTACGTTTTACCACGTTTTCATCGCGTCTTACCTTCAAACTACATAGTAATTCGACATTTGAGCGTGATATATTATATCGCGATACTCATGCTACATATATCTCAAAATGTATCACTCTGGTCCAAATTCACTCAAACAGGTATTATTATTATACCTGATTGAGTACTAGTCCAAAATTATTTCGCGTTGTTCTGCCACATTAAACATATTTGGCCCACTGCCTTTTGTTTTTTCATTTTTCTCATCATATTTTTTCATTAATTACCTTCTGTGATCTTCTTCTACTATACTACTTAAGGGTGATTTCTTAATGACAGATTAATGAGCACCAGTCAGCACAATTTACGTTATATCACATTTTTGTCGCCTCTCACCTTCAAACTACATAGTAATTCGACATTTGAGCGTGATGTATTATATCGCGGTGCTCATACTACATATATCTCAAAATGTATCACACCTGGTCCAAATTCATTATTTTTAAATCAGTTGTGTTAAGGAGTTGCATAACCATAACTGAAACTATAGGGGGCGGTGATTGCGTGAGAGACATCGACATGGTTAATAAGGTTTTCCCATAAAGATCTGCACTCTAAAATGCTAATTCCATAGCAGAAAGTTTTGGATAATTCAAACTATTATTGTCATGAAAGCAAAAATATTATACGTATTTCATTCTCCGTATCATCTCTGCTACTTAAAATACATAGCATACATGATTTGGTGCACATTGGTAGTAGGTAACTTTTGTTACACCATAAAGACAAAATACGTATTTTTTTTATGATATCAAAGGTTTCCTGAATAAAGTCAATGTTTTCAGATGTTTCATGTGGGCGTATCGGTATGAATGTCGTGCGCGTGAGCACCAACACGAAAGAACTACGTTAACTGTGATCATTGGCGTCCTATTACACTGCTTTCGAGATCGGCTTGCAGTCTTCTCATCACTCATGCCTGGTAATAACAAGTGGCGAGGAAAAAGAATCACTATAGTAAACACATTTTTAGGGTACCTCAAAAGGAAAAAACGGAATCCTTATAGGATCACTTTGTTGTCCGTCTGTCTGTCAAGACCCTTTATCTCGGGAACGCATTGAGAGATCGAGTTGAAATTTAAACTATATACTCAGGTCTTCCATCCCTTGAAGCTGTGAAAAAATCAAACATGTAAGTTAACACAAAAAAGATAATAGTCATATGTCCATTTATGTTGCGTACTTATAAATTTGTACGGAACCCTCGGCGGGCGAACCCAACTCGCACTTGTCCAGTTTCCCTTTTTCTCGTCTCATTGTCGAAATAAACGAGCTCTCAAAAACTTGGCGTACGACGGGAGAGATTTTGGAGCGAACTTACACAAAATAATATATTTGGAATCAGTGTCGACCACATTATTTATTTATTACCTGTTAGGGAAATAACAACATTAATCTGCACAAAGAAATGGATTCAAATGGTCAATAATTGTCTAATTTTATATTTTTCGTTTTTCCTTTGGAACCTAAAAAAAAGGGGGGTACGTGACTCATCAGACCTATTTCTTTCCATATTTTGAAAAGAAAGCGATGGCAGGTAGCAAAGAAGTCGTTATTATCTTTATGCCGGCTTCTTTTATGTGAATTATATTTATTTATGTTTATGCAGGTAATCGAAGCTGGCAGTCCATCTGACGATAATTTGTCACTGCTGTCCATCGATACTTGCAGCACCAAGGGATTTGCACTTGCATGAAAAATAACTCACGAGTCTGAAGGAAAATAGACCTGGGTCGATAATTTTTGAGACCAAAAAAAATTATAGTAGTATGAAACCCATTAGAAAAGGTAGAGAATATAACAAAAATGAAAGGAAAAATAAATTACGGGCGATCTGAGGTCGGGAAGGGGGAGGGGGTGAGCTTTTAAGGGTAAAAAATGGTTAATCTCGATTTCCGGTAAAACTGCAAGTCCTATGAAAAAAAGTTAAATGGCAAAGTTGTAGGTAATAAAAAGATCTACAACTTTTGTATCGACACTTTTTTCACATAACCTCAAAATTTATGTGAAAAATGCGAATAGTCGAGTTTTTGGTTTTTGATTTTTATTTTTGCAAAAAAAAAAATATTTTTTCACGAAATTTGGTGAAAACTTACCTTTGTATGTCTGAAACATACAGTAATTTTTTTGATTTAAAATATTCATTTTTTCACCTTATTTTGACTTAATATCGAAAAAGCACCCTTATTTTTAATCGAAAATTCTCACGTCAAAATATCTGCTTTTTAAAAAAAGTTGGGGTGTTTTTTGTTTGTTGAAATCTCTACTTTCTGATGGTATAAAAAAAATATACACTACTATGGTAAATGTTCTCAGAAACTACAAATTAATAATGAAAAAAACTCCAATCCGAAAAATTGATTTGAATCATTATGTATAATTTTGAACAATTTATTAAAATTTACACTTTAATTACTCGAAAAACGTAAGATTTCATGTTATATTGATAAACAGAAAAATTAGAAATCCATAAAACATGCCAAAATAGTTGTTGTAAGTAGGTATTAAAAATAGGATTTTCGGATTCGAGTTTTTTTCATTATTAATTTGCATTTTCTGAGAACATTTAGTAGTGTATATTTTTTTTTATATCATCAGAAAGTAGAGATTTCAACAAACAAAAACACCCCAACTTTTTTAAAAAAGCAGATATTTTGACGTGAGAATTTTCGATTGAAAATTAGGGTGCTTTTTGGATATTAAGTCAAAATAAGATGAAAAAAAGAAAATTTTAAATCAAAAAAATTACTATATGTTTGGGACAGGAGGTAAGTTTTGGTAAGTTTTCACCAAATTTCGTGAAAAAATATTTTTTTTTGCAAAAAATAAAAATCAAAAACCAAAAACTCGGTTATTCGCATTTTTCACATAAATTTTGAGGTTATGTGAAAAAAGTGTCGATACAAAAGTTGTAGATCTTTTTATTACCTACAACTTTGCCATTTAACTTTTTTTATAGGACTTGCAGTTTTACCGGAAATCGAGATTAACCATTTTTTACCCTTAAAAACTCACCCCCTCCCCCTTCCCGACCTCAGATCGCCCGTAATTTATTTTTCCTTTCATTTTTGTTATATTCTCTACCTTTTCTAATGGGTTTCATCCTACTATATTTTTTTTTCACTTTTCACCATTTTTTAAACTATCGACCCTGGTCTAAAAGGGTTACCCGCCTTTTGAAGACCGTTATATTTTTCTACTTAGTTTTTAATCATTGCTACGACTTTTCAGCACCAATGTTTCATACCTACTTATTAATGTATCGAGAAATTCCTTTTTGCAAAAGTGCATTTTCCGTAAGTTTTGTAGCCAAGTAGGTATCACATTGTGTGGTTAAATTGGTTCAGGGAATGTACTAAGTCATTTTAAATAATTCAGTTTGAAAAATAATATGTTCATTTTATAATTTCAGAACTGATGTCCTTATCAGTCTTGACGGAACTCCCGAAAAGAAACGACTGGATAGGAACGGTCAACATGAACACTGGTCAACTAGACGTCCACTTCAAGAGTATTCTTATAGAAATCTGTGTAGATTTCATTAAACATTTCCCTGCTAACAAGTTCGTAAGTTTAAAAATGTTCCATTCAAAACTTCTTGACATTTGACACGTATCAAGATCGGATTCAACTATGCGAATTCGATATTGGTCCGTGCTAAGGGTACCGGTCCCTAAGGACGATCGATTGCAATCAATATCATCATCAGCCTAATAGGTCATGTCTTGAATTTTGGCAAACAGGCCTAATGATGGAATAGCGGGAACTGGCCATGGATCAGGACGAGAGGCGTATGTTATCGGATTAGCGCGGTGTTGACGACTGTAGGTGCAGCTAGAATCAACGCCTCAACGTACATTCCTTTCAAGGCTCGGAGTTACGTAGCAGAGTTTGCATTCAATAAACCCGATTTGAGAATAGTTGCTGTATTACAGATGGTAGAGTCCCGTTACTGGTTACTTGGATTAATGTACTTGGTGGACCCGGGTCTGTGCCACCTGCGAGCACGCTGGTCTCCTGCACTGTTCGCGGAGTTGAGGAAGACGGCACTTAAAGCTTTAGTGTGTGTCTTACCGCTGATGCCTCCGCGCTTGGCCGTGGAATATGGACTCACCAGGAGGTAAGTACCTATTCCCGTTTATTATTTGACGACTTCCGAGGTGCGAGTGGTATGTACGCTGGGTTTCAAAGTGTCGCCAACTCGAGAGTTCGGGTTCGAATCTCGGTGGGGCAAATGTTAATACGAGCATTTGCACCTAAGTCATGAAACATTCATATATTTATTTCTATATAAAAAGTCTTATTAACAGGACTCAGGTTGAATAAATGTCAAAAGCAGCCTCGTTTGCTGACCACAGAACTTGTCTGTGGTGAATTTTAAATAAAAAATCAATAATCCTAACATGCTACAAATGCAAGACAAGAAAACTGAAGCAATTTGAGTGACTGAGGTGTGAATTCAGAAATGTGGTATTTTTATCGTTAATAAAAAAAATGGTTTTATGAAATTAAGGTTTGTTTTTATCCAGGAGATATGATTTGTACCGAGATGTGTCCTATGGATGGAATAGGGAGATTGGGCCATGACCCACCACGCGGGCCCAGTGCGGATTGGCGGGTGCTAATAACTGCAGATGCAGCCGGGACCAACGGCTTAACGTGCCTTCCGAAGCACGGCGAGCTCGAGATAGTAAATGTTGGTCACCCATCCCATGACCGACCACTGCGAAAGTTGCTTAACTTCAACGATCGCAGCCGAACGCGCTAACCACTTGCGCCATCGAGCTCCTCACCTCGCCATACTTATGCCATTAAAAATTACTAAAAACGTACCTACAGGTATATGGTTAAGTAACTACATAGGTATGGTTTATATGGTATATGCTTGGTGCTGACTAGATACTGAAAATGTATTTTCCTTTAATTGTTATAGGATAATGTGGTATATAGAGTGGTATTCTGAGAACCCATATGAATTGCCGATTCTTTACTGGTGCTTGAGGCTCTTACAAGTCATAGTAGAGAACAGGGGCCATTGCAAGAAACGTTTCAGCCTCATAGACCTCTTCGACACCCACGGGATTATTATTATCATACGTTAGTTTTGTTCAAATTTATAGTTTACTAGCTGACCCAGCGAACTTCGTACCGCCGTAAAAAATAGGGGTTGGTGGTAGAAGGGTGAAAATTTAGGGTTGTATATATTTACTAATGCTGTATCATAAAAAAATTAAAAAAAAAACAAAATTATCTAAAATAAAAATTAGGGGTGGATTACCCTTAACATTTAGGGGGATGAAAAATAGATTACATCCGATTCTCAAACCTACTGAATATGCATATAAAATTTCACGAAAATCGGTCGAGCCGTTTCGGAGGAGTTTAACCACAAACACCGCGATACGAGAATTTTATATATTAGATAAAGAATGTATTCTAAAAGACGACTCATAATCATATATTTTAGGTAACAACACGATTATGGGGATGTTTGTTTCTGCTACAATTCTCGGGTTTGGTTCTTAGTAGGGTACCTATTTAATCTTGTGATAAACAAAAACAACTAATTTGTAGTTCGTTACTTAAATTTTACTCGCTTAGTACACCCATTGTATACTTAGGCCGCGTAGTTATATTTGACTATTAGTTAATGTCACGTCAAATACTTATATAGTATTATGTGTTAAATTTTGACAAATGACAATTTTTTACATAGTATTTTCGCTATAGTAACATTTAACTACCTATGTATCGAACAATGCGGCCTTACATTGTTTTGACATTTTAGTAATGTTGTGAACCATTACAACCTTTCAAGCCGTGGTACATGTTATAATTACCAAATCACAGATCTCAGCTACACATTGTTGAAAAAGAAGATACCACCAGTGGAAAAGGCCCAGGCAGTGATAGCACTGAACCTGCAGCTCTTGACGGATGCTCTGGATGTGAACCGCCAGCTGTCCTGCTGCGTATACCCTGATATCAAGTGGCCGTCATCCATCAACGCACTGACTAGAAAAATGATAGACACAGTTTTATTATCGCTCGAGAAGCACTATATAATTAGCGATAGGTTTGTAAGCAAATATATTTCCTATATGCTTAAATATAGTTAAATTGAGGAGCTCGATGGCGCGGGTGGATAGCGCGTTCGGCTGCGATCGTTGAAATTAAGCAACTTTCGCAGTGTTCGGTTAGGATGGGTGACCAAAAATTTACTCGAGCTCCTCCGTGCTTCGGAAGGCACGTTAAGCAGTTGGTCCCGGCTGCATCTGCAGTCGTCAGCACCCACCAATCCGCACTGGGCCCGCGTGGTGGGTCATGACCCAATCTCCCTATTCCATCCGTAGGGAAGGCCTGTGCCCCAGCAGTGGGGACATTAATAGGCTGATGATGATGATGATGAAAGTTAAAGGACAATGTTAAAATTGGCCTAAGAACCAACACCAATTTGGCATTTATGATAATTCTTAGTATATTTTTTGCGATAATTATCAGTATTTAGATTGAGACGGACACTTCCAGTTAAGTAAGCTAAATTAAAAAGTTAAAAAATAATCTGAGACAGTAAATACCATTTTATGTGTATAATCTATGGCAGCGCTGCAAACAAAACACTCGTTCTTCCTAATGCAGGCACTTCACTTGTCTATTATAGTATTTGCTATTTTAAAACATGACATTAGTCTGTTCTTTTCATTCCTTATTAAGCATGACAAGGACAAACTGTTGTCAAGTGAAGGGCCTGCATAAAGCTGTGGTTGTGGTGCATGCAGTTTGCATTCCTAGTAATCTGTGGCATTCGTGTATTCCAAAGAGTAGTTTATTAATATACCGGAATGTGCATTCTCGTTTCGGATTACCTGTTGTGTGTGTTTATTTGCGATTGTTTTTCCTTTAATTTAACTATTTCGGCTATCTAATATGCCATCGATGTTAGCAAAGAGCAGAGCCCTTATTACCAAGTGCTAGTGAACCTGTGCCACAACATCCTGAGAGGATCATACTGCCAAATTATTCAAGAACACCTGATACATATTCACGCTGCATATTTACACAATATACATGTACATACAAATACAAATAAATACAATACACAATATGATACAATTATGTGAAAAATAGTCAATAAATAAGAAGCAAAACTACAGTTTTTATTTTATTCATGATTCCTACCTAACCAAGTTTTTCCTAATAGTTATTCTTTAAAATCGCACCGAATAATATGAATTAGTTGTAATTTTAATTCACTTCATACTGAGTTCATACTAAATTCATAGGTTGACCTATGTTTCATTGAATATTAAACATAACCTCAAAAAAATTTTAGTTTTCCTAATAGTTTAAGTTCTCAGAAGTGTCCGTCAATAATCTTTGTTTTTACAGTCATTTACTTACGATTTTGAACCTAGAAAATAATATTTCATGATTGTTGGTTCTTAGGCTAATCATGTATGGATGCTGAACAATGTCCTTTGTTAGTCAAAGGGCATAGACATGGAGGTACGACTATTGAACCTAAACATTAAGGTTAGTGGCTAAGTGCCTTTGGATCGGAAATATAAGTAATTCCATAATAGAAACCTTCAACATCATCAGCCTATGAATGTCCCCACTGTTGGGCTTGTGCCCTCCCCTATGGATGGAATAGGGAGATTGGATGATAACCCACCACGCGGGCCCAGGGCAGATCGTGGTGGGTGCTAACGACTGCAGATGCAACCGGAATCAACGGTTTAACGTGCCTTCCGTTGTACGGAGGAGCTCGGGATGGGAAATTTTGGTCACACATCCAATGACCGATCACTGCGAAAGTTTCTTAACTTCAACGATCGTAGCCTAACGCGCAAACCCTTTGCGCCATCCTTCTCCTCCTCGTTCTCCTCGATAGCAAACCTTACTAAGTATTTACTTAAAATTGTTAATAATATAGATACTTATATACTTCTGTGTCTTTTTCTTTGGATGGTCTGGTATTTTTTCAGAATGTTGGTTTCTTTAATGAACTTTATTTGGGAAGCAGTCATATGGAATCCTGAACATCGGACTATATTTATAGCGAATAGCGGCATCTATCACCTCTTAGATATAATCACTGTAAGAATTGTACTGCTTTTTCTCTAAAACACGTGAAGTATTCTTTTTTTCTACTGTTGGTAAATAGGGATTGCAATCCCACAGCTCATTCAATCCCACGGGATTGATATGCAGGATTATTCAATCCCATGGGATTCCCTGAGTAATAAAAATAACAACTTTTCTAAAACATTTTTACATCATCTTAAAGCCCTTCGAAACCGCGTCTTTTGAACTCTCATACATGATCCCGTTTTGGGGGATTGCAACCCCTGTTGGTAACGTAAATAGAGTTTTAATAATTATATTTTTTATTACAAAATAATTTTAAAATGTCTGGTATGTATCAAACGGGATTGGAACATAAACTTTTCGTTATCTAAACGAAGGCTATCAAATAAGCTACCTTGAGCCTATATAAAATAAAATATGTTAACTTAAACAACCCGGAGGCTGTAAAAGGTCCGAAACGTAAAGAAAATTTTAAAAGAAATGAATAAAAACGCGAATATTCCTGTTTAGAAAGTGTATTATAATAGTGAACACATATGAAATAAATGGAATATGTTGGATATTTTTCAAAATATTAAATTATAAACTGTATAATTAACTAGCGTATTTAAAAATCTGCCTACTATTAAAGGTCCTGCCAGACATATCTACTCAGAAAAGGATCTTCACCGTATCAACTGAAATCTTTCAGTATTCTTGGTATGAAACTCCCTTCTGCAACGCACACAAATCGGAATTGTAACGTAATCGCCTCCCCTCGGGACAAGGTCCCGAACCGCAGTGCGGTGCTAGTTTGCGTCTCTCCGTAGCCCGAACCGCAGTACGGTGCTAGCTTGCGTCTCTCTGTAGGTGTCTCCGTGGCCTTACTTATGTCTCTCCGTAGCCTAGCTTGCGTCTCTCCGTAGCCTTACTTATGACTCTCCGTACCCTTGCTTGCGCCCTTTAGTCTACGCCCTTCCCGCGGCCTCACGTTCGGATTTATGCTAATTGTACGATTACAGTGTTGATAGCGGTCGGTAGAGGGGGTTCGATAGAATAATTTGCTAACCTTAAGGTTGAACGGTTTGTTAAATGTAGAATAAAAAACATCCAATTAAAAAATATGGGTTGAAAGGTTATTGTTTTATAGAAACATTTAAGTATTATAATTTGTAATTCCCTTTCACCAAATAGATCAATCATTTACGGATTTTGCTGCTGGACTGACAATGAGATAATGTTTGACAGTCTTGATAGAATTGAATTAAAACTAAATAAAAATCGTAAACGAAAATAAGCACTGGGCAAGAAGGTCGAATATGAGGATCTAGACAAAGAGACCGGTTGCGGCTATGCCACACCGTTAAAGCCGTAGCCGAGTCAACGTACTTGGAGCTATTAGCCGCTTACATTACATGATTATGTTAGGAGGACGCGTATGACGGCAAGCCGAAAAACAAGTGGAAAACATTCCACTTTCGGGTTGATATGTGTGCTATGACCTTAAGGGATTCAATATAATATTATTTGATAGATGACTCGAGCGCCAGTGCAGTGTATTGCGTTGGCAATATTGTGCGACGTGGCCCGTGCTGGAAATGCTGTCGGGCAGCTGGTAACCTGGCGGGCCAGCGTCAGTGCATCGCAAGCCGTAAGTCTTTATAATGTTTGTTTACATAGTTTTACTCGCTCGATAAGCGTTCGTGATACTGTGCGAAATGGCCCGGGCTGGCAACGCCGTCGAGCAACTGGTGACCTGGCGCGCCAGCCTCAGTGCATCACAACCCGTAAACCTTATTCAATTTATTCAATTCTACTCGCTCGACAAGCATACTGGACTTAAATTCGCAAATTCGCACTGGCCCGCGTGATGGGTCATCGCCCAATCTCAACATTTTATTGATAGAGAAGGCCTGTGCCGCAGCAGTGGGGTCATTAATAGGCCGATGTTTGTGAAGGGATATAAAATAAACCCAGGGGTTCTAAAGGAGTATCAAAATTACAACTCAGAAAAACATACCATACCGATCTAACAAAAAATTTACAATCTTGTGATCTGTGATTGATGCATTGGTGTATTACGAAAGTTATAGCACCTTTATCTTGGATAACGATTTCAAGCAAGCCTAACCCAACCTTTCGCCAAAAAATATATGTAATCGAAAGTTTTTTTATACACATTTCATTTTTCTATTATTTTTCTTAAGATTGGCATTTGGGTAAATGTTTTTTAAGATTGACATTGAGATGAGAAAAATTGTAAGTAGTTTTCTCTACATTTTCACATAATACAATGAATTTAATTTTAGCCACCTTGAATAAAGCTATAACAATTTATTCTGCACGTTTGGACACGGAAGTTTTATAGGTTAATTGAATTAAGAGGACACGTAGGTGGCAATAGTTTTCACACACTCGTTCGTTATTATGTGACGATTCTTATTACATGCCATTGCCAAGCCACATATTATGTTCATCCCAAGGGATATACAATTCACACCCCTTGATTTGTAGGTGCTACATGTGCGCGAAATTGAAAGAAGTAGATTAACTCAAACTACTCAGTTCCTGCCGGATGACGTCATGTGGGAATCCCCTACACCCATTTCCAATCTTCTGCACCCTGCACATCGCGTCACAGTTCAATACTCTATTGCTGAAGGACATCAAAAAGTGGACGAAACTTGCCTTCCGAATACCGTGCAAATTTTCACCGACGGAAGTAAACTGGAGAATGAATCCGTTGGGGCTGCTTATATTTGCATAGACCCGGATTCACCCTCTCCCGTTACTTGTAAAAGATTTAAATTATACAAAGCTTGCACTGTGTTCCAGGCTGAACTTTATGCCATCTACAAAGCCTGCTGCCTCGCTGTGGAGAGGAAATACGAAGATACCCTTATTCTCACTGACTCATTATCGTCTCTGGACGCACTCAGTCAGCGCAACAACGCCACTCCTCTCGTGTCACTCACCCACAAACTTATTCATGAACACCACTCACTCTTTTGGAAATATTCGTTTTTGTTGGGTTAGCGAGCATGTAGGGATTGTAGGTAACGAGGCTGCGGGATGCTGAGGCCGGACGCGCTGCAGGTTTGAGAAGGGCTCCTGATTACGACCGATTCCCATTATCATATGTAAAGCGCCTTTCTAGGCTTCGTATTCGCAAAGAGTGGCAGAAACGATACCAAGAGGCTGCTCAAGGCTCCCACACTCGAGATTTATTCCCCTCTATAACAATGATTCACAATTCTTTCTTAGTCAATTTTTAACAGGACATGGTGCCCACCTTTCTTATTTATACCGCTTTCACATTGCTGCATCTAGCGCATGTCCATGTGACACTCGACGCCTCAAGATCCTCTTCATCTTTTGACTGATTGTCCAAGATTCACTATTAATAGACTTAGACATACTGCCATATGCTCAAACAGCAACATTAACCCGTTTCATATTCCTGATCTTATATCTAAACCAAAACTGCTCAAATCTTTTGTCGCACTCGTTGAAACTATCTTCTCAAAACTGAAATCTTTCAATAACTCTTCTTTACCCTCTTCGTCACACTGAGTTGGTATATGGCAAGTTTTTTTTTGAGCTTAAAGCAGAAATGTTCGTTTACGGCACGATATACCTGTTGAGGCTTCTAGATTTCTTCTCGGTTTATCCAAATCATGAATACATATCCATATATTAGACATACCCAAAGTTAGTGAAGCCACTTTAGAATTTTTGCTAAGGCTTCTAACGAGGCCTGTTCAAAGGCGTCCTTCCCGCGGCCGCCGGAGATGCGATCCAACTCAGATGTACCTACTTAAATGGGGGCCTCAGGACCCATTTTTTTTTCCCCACCGTCCTTTGGTGTGTCTTGACTTTTACCCATTAAGCTAGATACTTATAAGTTTAATTATGCACTTAGCATCACAATATAATGTACATTACAATATTGCACTGTTAAAGACTGCGCTGCCTTGGGCGGGGCGTCGGGCGCGAGTCCGCTCGCCGTGCAGTTTTTTTTTTGTGTCATTTCTTGGAGACCCATCTCACGTGCCGCTGCTCTATGAAGCATGAAACAAGCGCGCCGAGCGGGTGCCCGCTCTGTGTCCCGCTTAACGCAGCGCACGCTCTTAAGGTATTTTTTTTCTGTGAATATAATAATAACGTTATATAATAGTTTAAAAGTGTATATAATAATTACCTAAGGACTCATTTGAGTATGATTGTGTGTGTGTGTGTGTGTGTGTGTGTGTGTGCGTGTGTGTGTGTGTGTGCATGAGTTTGCGTGTATGTGTTGAGTGAACCCTGCATTCTATTAATAACGCATACTTTTAATAACCAAAGCACTACGCGTTCGCTTCGAATTGGCTGCTTCCACCCTCCCAGCTTCAGAACACCGCGCTTTAGACAGTCCCTATTAGTTGACCTTATTGGACGATGGTACCAGTTGATGTGCCTGTGATTGGCTATCGACGGCCAACTCGAAGCAAACGAGTAGTATTTAACGGGACTAATGTCTATCAACTTTTCTTTACTTTGTTTTTCACCTCCCTATTTTCTTGTATACCTACTTTTATCTTTACTATCCTTCTATGCTTCCTCTTTCAGACTTCTGCCCGTGCCCCTGACTGTATCAAATAGCAGCCTCGAGCACGGAAAGTGTATTATTAAACACGTTGTTTGAATAAGAATAACCTAGTTAAAGAGACATATTGTAAATAATTGAATAAAAATATTATGAAAAAAATAACATATAATATAACGCAGGCGCGGTCGCAGCCTGAAATTTTGGAGGGGGTCACTCATTACACTAATAAAAAAAAACCGGCCAAGAGCGAGTCGAACTCGCGCACCGAGGGTTCCGTACACACCTGAATTACCAAAAATATTTTTTATTATATGATGTAACTAAAAATTCACGGTTTTCGCATTTTTTTCTTTATCTGTACTATAAGAAGTTACTTTGTAGCAAATGTCAAGAATGACCTTAGATTTTGGGGGGGGTCATGTCCCCTGTGACCCCCCCCTTCGGACCGCGCCTGATATAACGTTAACTTGTTTGTGTTTCTGTATTAAGTATTAGTATTTACCAATACTATTTTTATGCTTTATTTCAGCACCCAAATATAGTTAAGCGAGGTGCAACGATCACATCTCTATTGGCTGCTATTTTCAGAGACGAATGCCATAGAACTGGAGTGTGTATCAATGAGTATGGAATAATAGAAAGTGAGCAGCCACAATTTCTTAACCAAAATATAATAAGCATAAGTAGCTACTCGCAGATGATGCTTCTTATAATTGTCATTTGCACTCACAAGTAAAAAACAGTACCTGCTTAATCAAAACGTTATTTAGTAAAATGATAAATGTAATTAACATCAAATAACTTATGATTTGGCAAATATGCAAAACTGTAAAATTCATCCGTTATAATAAAATAAAGTATATTAAACTTCACTTATAAGTAACTAGATACAATAACCATAAACTACAGTATTTTATGGGACAGTCGTGCAAAAACAGAAAGATTAAGAATTATTCACGCTACACCGTGTCGTGACCGGGACGTGCCCCGTTCGGGACACGGTCAAACATTATGGTATTCTTTTTATACGAAGTAATTCATGCCCGACCGTGGCACGGCCGTGCGCTGCCGGGACTCAGCCGGAGCACGCCGTTGAAATGTCGGTGGGTATTGTCCGGCACGGTCCGGCCCTGACACGTCTTAGTGAGGTGAGCAGCTCAACAGCAAAATGGACGGTGAAAAATTATTAGAATGTGTTCAAATCTGCTTTGCGCTTTCTCCAGGTTGGATGTACACCCCATCTTCTTTCAGTAGTTTCGCATCGTTTTTCCAATACTTATTACTGCGTCATCGATGGCAACTGCAATAGCTGCCAATTCAAGTTGTGAAAATTGCATATGTACTTAAGCGTCACGTCTATCGACTGATGAAATCACTAGTTGACACAAAACATTCAATACACACACGGCCGTGCAAAGAATACACGCAAACAACCCGGTGTAGCATGAATGACTGGCCCGGCAGGCGCACGGTGGACGTGCTACCGGGTGGAGCCCGGCCCGGTCGCGACACGTGTACCTGTGAATCATCCTTTATGGTTGATGACCTATTTTAATTACTAAATTAGTAAGCAACTTCAGTCCAGTACAAACTACGTCTTACTTAGTTCATTGATTGCAGATTTGGACTGTCCAATAATGTCTGCGGAGGTTAGGAAAACGATTTATGATAAAAGCTTCCTATTAAACAGAGATCAACGAACTCCTGTATGTCCGAGTGCGGGTGATTTAGCTGGTTCACGATTGTCAAAAGTAAGACTTAATTTAAAAGCTTCACAATTTTTATAATATGAATATTATAATATAGGGCATACAGGACATACAGTGTGTACAGGGTTGTATTCACCCTAAAACATGGCCCGGAGCGGCAGGCTGCGAGGGGCAGCGAAGGAAATCGGGGTTATTTATTGGGCTTTCAAATGATACCACTAAATAATAAACGATTACCTAAAATGTACGTCTCAGTAGATGGAATTTATTTAAGATACTTACCTTATCTTAAAGTAAAGAACTCGCTCGCATGCAAAGGGTAGGTAAGTATGTATATAATATATATTACAACATTATAAAATAGGCATATATTACTATATTTTACATTCAATAAGTACTACATTCTTGACATTGATTAATGATATATTGATATATTTTAATGAGTAATATTTTCCTTCAAATCTAAAATAGGTTTTCGCTATCTTACACCTATTGTCTGATGATTTGGATTATGCAGTGACGCTAGCAGACGAAGCCTACAATATGTATAAGAATATCAAACTTGCACCGGAAGATTTGGTGAACTTTTATTAATAGTTTTCTATATTTAATTTATTAGTAAACTGTTGATATAGGCGAGTTCTGTTCACTATATTTTAGAGGCAGGCAGACATTATTTATTATTGTCTTATCATTTCAAAAGGTATCCAATATCAAAGATTTACTTTAACGACCGGTAGTGATTCTGATTCATGCTGCATTTTTCAAAAAGTTTTGACATAAGTACTACTTACACTGCATTGATATTAGATACCTTACACAGACTTTACCACCAAAATTATACTTACAAGGGAAGTTTAAATGTTCTCGGTAGGCGATCTGTGGCTATGTATGAATCTTAAGTAAAAGGCAGGAAATCTGAAATAATTTAAGTACCCTACAACCAGAACAATTCTTGCAAAATAAAATTATCTTGCCCTCCAAAAATTACTTTATTGTTTCTGTAAAAAGACTGTTTACCGACTACCTTGAGCTTTTGATCGTCGGAAAATCGCTTACCCCTAATCTACTTTCTATATCTTAAAAGTTGCGGAACAAAAAGTATTCATTTCTATTCAACTCCCCTATATAATTTCCCTTATTTTTTTTATTATCTGATAATTTAAAAGTTTACACTAAAAAATCTAGGTGCTGGATTAGAGTTCTAGGCACTGTTCGTGTGAAGAGACATGAGTAAGAAGCACTTATTACTGGGTTTTAAATGCTCATTGACCTGTATGATCTATACTTAATTACATGCTCAGCTTGGGCTGTCTCACACCAAATCAATTTGAAGCTTGACCGAATTTTCCTTACACAGGCAGTCTTGGTACTCTGTTCTCATTATATGACGCTGAAGCTAAATGAGGTGTGGGTTGAAACAAAAATTCAATCGCCCTGTTTACTGCCGCAAGACCAGGACGTTTTGGAAGAGTTCCTTAACATTGGCGTCGGTTGGGCAAAGGAAATAAAACGACAGCAAGAAGAAGTAATAGAAAAAGATATTTATAAGGTAAATTTATTTACAGGTCAGCACTTTGTCTGTCAGGAGGTGGTATATGACAGAAAAATCAGGTATTGCTTATGATATCGCAGGTCTTATGCAACAGGGGCGTATGCGCAAAAATATGTTTTTTTATTTCACTATTCCATTCATCATCCCAGTACCACAAACACACAGTGTCATATTATTATATAACGTAGTTATACGTTCAAAAATACTGAAAAGACTTATTATTATAGTGCTTCTTTTTAGCTGTCCCAGCGAACTTCGTACCGCAATAAAAAGAGGAGTCATGGTAGAAGGCTGAAAATTTAGGGTTGTATATATTTTTGTATAATGTATCATAAAAAAATAAAAACAAAAAATTAAGTCCAAAAAAAAAAAGTAAAATCGTCCCGTGGTATATTATTAGCAAATATTTTAGGATACAACCATTTCAGGAAGCAGACATTTTAGGCAACGAAAACTTATGTTTTAAGAAAGCTCACATTTTGGGAAACCGACATTCTCATCATGAGTGTTCATCATCATGAGTTCTATTTTGTGATAAATATGTAGGTACCGAGTAACTGAGGGTTACTTTACCTAAAAAGTGCACTTTTTTTTCAAATAAAATTGTAGCTTCTCTTTGTGATGAATATGTCACGTTTATATCTTTCCATTGTGAACTTCAAAGTATAAGTTACAAAGTTATCATACGAAAATAGGAAAAAATAATATTTAAGGGTTAATATATATTTTTTTAATTTTGGGCCAAAGTTGGCCTTAAAGAGGGTTACTTTAGCTCGTTGAGTTTTCTCTGTGAAAAAAACTCATTTTAAGCCATGCCATAAGTAACCCTTATAACAGATCACCATTAGCATAATGATTACACAAATGGATGTATTTGCCCAAAAATAATTAAGTTAAATAAAAAATATAGTTTTAAATTTAGAAAAAATAGTAAACTTACCGAAAACCACAGTTTTGAGAAAGTTTGCGCATGAACTTGCGAACTATTTCAGCTACAAAAAATCCCGCGTTACAATGACAACTTGATACAGGAACGATGTCGGTAAAAAAATATCACATCACGTGCCTATATGGCTATCTGTGATTTTCAACTGGAACTATTACGGTCACCAAAGATATACTGATGGGGCAGCAAGTTCAATATTTTTTCTGATTTGGGACAAAGTTACCCGCCCGAGCTAAAGTAATCCTCACTTACGGTACCTATAACATGACCTTTCAAAAAAGTATTCTGTAATGGAATAAAATATTGCTTGATCTTCGTTTTTTCTCTACTGGATTACTTCTTTTTACCTGTTATATACTGAATTTTTAGGAAAACGAAGAGGAAATGTCGTTGTACGCTTTTTTGGCTCGTGTACGCCTGAACATAGCACTGCAGGCATTGCGCGAGGTTCGATGCGCGGCGCGCTCCGCAGACCGTGCACGCATTACTACCGGCATGATCCATGATGCGGTGCTTGCGCATCACCGCCGCTACCTCCACGCCAAGAAGATAGACTCACCAGTGTTACAGACGTACGGACCTACTTTGGACGACCAGGTTATTTACCAGCACATTCCTATTTATCTTATATAGGTTCAAAAGGTCACGACTCTTTCACCGAAAAACACTTTCTAAGATTCAGACCTCTGTCGATCGCTCTACATTCAGCTTGTGGAACTTTTTACGCTACTATCAACATCTTTATAAGGTCACCAAATCTAGTACCTCTACAATTATCAGTGCCTATTATGACAAAAATCTTTAATCACTAAGTATAAACAATACAATAAGGACAAAACAGATAGTATTGCTCGATGGTAGTTCAAATTCAATAGGTTGCTGGGCATGCACACATAGTTTTCCTCCAGCTTCCCGGTGAAAACAGTTTGAAGTAGGGTTGCTTACAATGGTATTGCTCGAAGCTCCATACTTCGTACTATACTACTACTAGCTTTTATTTTTTTTACTTTCACAACCATGATTTCATTTTACTCCACTTATATTGAGCCCGAAAATAGTGATTTGTGCCAAGACTTATTCTGGGGATTTTGGTTACCTGTTCGGATTACATATTTCTTAATTTATTTATTGTTTCAGAACATCACGGGCCAGAATGTTAAAGTGTACAGTATATTTCCTAAAAACAAGCCAAAACAAAAAGATTACGTGTTACCATCATAGACCTCTTTGTGCTTATTAATAGTTATTAATAATATTTGTTTAAACAGTTGTTTAATATATTACTATTACAAAATAAAACATATTGATATTTTATTATTGCTTTTATTAAAACCCATTTAAATACAGAAATATGTTTCAATAATATAATATAGGTAAATGTAGCTTAGGATAGTTATGCAATAGATCTTGTTAGTGTCCTGTCAGCTTATGTTATTATGTGTTTAAGAGGATTCGATAGTTCGTACAGTAGGCCCATCAGAATCCGAGGCTGCGTCGAGAAGCAGCCAAGGAGGTCGTAAGGGAGAGGAGAGGACGGTTTATTAATAGTGAGAGGCGAAAGGAAGAGTAGAGGAAACGAAATAGAAAATAAATAAACGCTATAAAGAATGGGAGTAAGAACAGTGTAAGAGATGAAGTTTAACAATCTTGCATGAAATACAGTCATTAGAGGTATTTGAAAACCTTCGGCGGTCAGAAATAATAAAATGAAAACTGAAGCTATAGCAATAGCCAAAGCTATCCCTATAGGTGGTAGGCCCCCTGCTGCTAATAAAAATTTGGCGCCGTGGGGGCTGGGGGCCAACAAAACTTAATAAACAATCTTCATTTTAACACAACTACACTACCGGACACATCTATCGGCTCACCTATAGTCTGTTTTTTAATCCAAGGGACAAAAATGACATTACCTGTGTAGCCGGTTTAGTGCAGTTCTTAAATAGTGATGTGCTATCTACGACTATGACCATCGGAAATTAACGCTTAGAAAATATTTAGTAATTTTTTTTATTTAAAAGTGTTTGAATAAGTATTATCCGAACCGAATTCCAAGTTATGAGAAAGTTTATGAGTCACAGTGACCGCTCGCGACCTAATGGCATGTCTGCCTGTATGTCGTTTCTTTGATATAAAATAAAAAAATAAAAACGGGCTTAAAAATCCAAAATTTCATCCATAAAATACATAAAGTAAAAAAATATATTGAAACATGGAATCGGATATTATTTTTACTTCCATTTTAAATTTTGATCTCAGTTTTAATTTCTTGTTCTTAAATAATTTTTATTTCATCCATTTTTGTGTGAAGGTCCTTCACATAAGTACCTACATAAAAAACACCCTATACAATGTATAATGAAAATTACATCACTCATATAATAATGAAAACTACTGGGCAAACTGAAACAAATTTTCACGGCTAATGGCGTCTATTCTGCATTGAAAAAAAAAAGAATTAAAAAATCGGATCAGAAATCATATGTACATAAATAAAAAAACACTGACCATATTAAAGCACCTTTTGACGTGACAACGTCTTAAATTAGGTTGCGGCTGGGAGTCACTTATGAAAAAGTGTAACGCTCGGTAACGTTACGATGAGTCTCTCGTGTTAAGTTTAAGTTTACATGTACAATGTTTTAGTAAACAAAATATATTTCTATAGTTAAAATTTGTGCAATTCTTATTTTCATTCAATTCCTTGTTCCTATTGTGCAATTTAATTATATTCATATCAATAAATATTCTACCGAGAAAAAGACGTTGTCACGTAAAATCTTCGCCCGTAAAACCGACTTTACAGGCAACCATTTTTTTTTAAAGTCAGTTAAAAAATGCATGTGAGAATAAATAGCTTTTGTACGATACAAAATGCTAAATGAAGAGAGTAATGAGAGGCCTACAGATATAAAATTAACATAAATTAATAATAAAAATTTTGTTTTCAATTTCTTTATTAGTAAATCATGAATACAACATTTTCACACACAGGGAGATTGAAGTTCATAATAAAATAAGCATATTATACCAATCAGATAAAAAATTTCTGAAACGCCATCATCGGACGCGGCATCTATTACTATGTCGACTATACGACCCAGTTGACCGATTTTATTTAAAATAAAAACGACGTAAATTAATGAGAAACACATTACATATTATATATTGATAAACTGAGCTATATAATATTTTGGAAATTATCAATGATATAAAAGAATAACCGTCAAATAAGAATAAAAACTTAAAATCCGGTATCGTGGGTACAACGCTACAAAAACAAAAGCTAGTATCATTATTTGACATTTTTGTCTCCGAGAATAACGTTTTGACGGTCCGAAAATGTTTGACTACGCAGTTTTGAAGCTGATTTATTAACCACGTTTTCGTGTGTTTTTAAAGTTATTGCACAACCATAAACATTATTTTTGCTATAGATCGTTTAAACTTACAACACTAAGTTGGCGGATAGATGTGTCCGAGAGAATATAAAGTATACTGGACATAGGTATCATAATTTGTGTAAGGTACACAAATCATGGTACCTATGTCCAGCATACTCACCATAGAACTAAATATAACAACTATAATTCATATGTCAAAAAATATTGTTCAAATAGTGTCCAAAAATTCAATTCGGTGCTTTAATATTTCCAGAGATATACGCCTTGTTCATATTAAAAATAAAGCGATGAATAATTAAATGTTAATATAATTAAATATTACCGTAAATTAAACACAAATTAAGCCAATATTAGTTACGTAAGTACATTCTTTGAGATGGCTAATAATCTGGTGTTCCCTAAATCACAACATATTAAGAATTACTATAAACAAACTTTATAACAAGCAAAATTACATTTGCAAGAGTATTTAAACCGAAATATAAAGAATATCTATACAATAATAGTACTTGGCACTTTTTTGTGGACTTACAAATTAACATTAATTTATAACGATACCGCTAGCTTCTAGTGCTAAAAGATAGAAATAAAGGATCTCGAAACATTACAATGACATTTACAGAATAAACTAAAGCGATGCAAATTATCGATAAGTTCTATCTATTCTAGTTACATCCGTATAAAATATTTTGTTCTGCACAGGCACACACATTTGTATTTTTTTCTATAAGTGTCTTATTTAAGCGATTAGCAATTACAAATAGATGTCGATGTGTACGATGGTGATCACTTGCAATCAGGTTATAAAAAATACTTTCTATTTTATTCGTTTATTCGTCCAACCTCTAATGTGCAAAATGTTCTCTTACAAATAAAATAAGACTAAAGGTCACACTTGAGGAGTCAATTTTTTTATGAAACTTAATTTATATTAATGATTAGTGAATATACAATGCATAAGTGACGCGTTGCCTAAAAAAATAGTCGCAAATATATTTAATTAAATTAGGTGTCATCCATGCATTTATGTAAATTGCATTCAAATATTTTTTTACAAGAATCATTGGTTGCCAGCTCTCAATCAGCAGCAACTTTTTAGGGTTGCCAGGTGTAAACAGGTACATTAATGTTGATTATTTAAGACCTGCAAGCATAGTTTTCACGACGTTTATGTAATGACTACATCAAATTCCCATGTAAAAGTTGTGATGAATGCTGGTTATTCAATAAAATGCCATGAAGCAGTGGCAATAACCATGAAAACTAGACGAAAAGTTAGTCATCTTCACGACCAGCACTACACGTTCACTTGGCGACTTATACGTCTGCTACTCTATTCCGACACTGATTCCTATAAAATTGGTCTATTCTTGGTCGTATCAACGTCATAGCGACGTATTTGCGACCAGCATACAGAAAAGTTATAATCGATATCTTGTGGTGACCTACGAAATGTTTGTTGGGTAGACATCACGGTAACCGACTAAAAACTAATTACAATAACTAACAATTGTATGCCTGTGAAGTACAAAAGTTAAGATATTTATTTTATAGAGTCCGCTTGGCGATTTTATTTATTTACAGTTATTAAGCTAAGATCAGTCATCAATCCTTTGCAGTCCCTATGTACATGTAGACATGGAAAGGTAATAGTTTTAATATTAGGTTGAGGAAAAAGTTTCTTCGCGTTTTATATGAAAATTCAAAAAATTTCCAATAAAATTTATTTACATTTAACGCAAGTATGTAGGTGCCATTTTTTTCGATAACTTTTTACCATCTTGTAGGTAGGACATCATGATCTCATTGCTATAGAAATTTTGATGCTTGTGATCAAAAAACCACGATAAGTGGTTTTGGAGGTCCCTTCATGATGTTAACCTGACCCTATCTATCTAAAGAAATCTGAAGAAACCGAAACAGGTAAAAATCTGAATGTGCAAGGTCAGGACTACACAGCGGACGCATTAACACCTCTCAGTCAAACTATCTTAATTTTTGCTGAGTAGCTAAAGATGTGTGAGGTCTAGCATTATCATGATGAAAAACCACACCCTTTCTGTTGATTAATTCCGGCCGCTTTCTCTCAACTTCTTGTTTTAATCTCATCAGTTGTTCGTCACTTGTCATCACCATTTATCAGCTTCATAAAGAATGGTTCTGATTCATAACGTCGTAATAAAGAATCACAAATGAGTACACGGTTCATAAGGTTGCTTTCAGTAAGCTCGTGAGGCACCCAAATATCGAGCGTTTTTCAAATGCGCCAAAACTGTTTTGTGGTCGATTCCCAGTTCTTCGCCTACGTCGTCACTACTGAAATGTCGATATTGCTCCTCTTTTTAAAATATGGCATCCATTTTATCCGTATAAGGGCGACTAGAGCGACGTGCATCTTTGACATCGAAATTTCCGGATTAAAAACGCTTAAACCAAAGTTGTGCTACTCTCACAGACACTGCACTAGGTCCATAAACATCACAATTTTTTTTTGCGACATGCGTTGTATTTTTAACTTTTTTATTAGATTCACTCATCTTGACAGTAGGATAAAGAAATTAAATTCACACATTTTTCTAATTTAAATTTGGAATTATCTTCCTTAAAATTTAAACTTTTTAATGATACCAAAACCAGCCAGATACAAATGGTATTTCATGAATGGCCAAAGAGATTTTATTACAAGTTCATACATACTATAAAGCGAAAAATCTTTTTCCCCAACCTATTAGTATTAAATTGTCTAAATGCAAACTACTGGCAAAAAATATATGTAACGGTTATTAGCAACAAAAAGTTTACATTTATTAACAGTTTACA